TACTAATATAATAGTATTTAGTAAAAAATTTAGTTCAAGTAATTATTAAAAAAATTAATAATTTAAATTAAAAAATAACATTTATTATTAATCAATTGATTGGAATAAATATTGATTTTTTAAATCTAAAATACTATATAGTTAATATTATTATATACTGTCTAATTATATATATGTATTCTCTAAATATAAAAAGATTTTGATTTTTGATTATTAACACAAAGTAGTCTATATAATTTAAATGCATATGTTGTAAGTGGGAATGGAATCATAATAGAGTTCGGAATCCACTTAGATTAGAATGTAATAATTATACTAAAAACCCAATCCTAACCTTAAAAATTCTGAATCAATTTAAATCCTGTCTCCACTTACGACATATATATATACTGTATGTGCATAAAAAATTTTCTGATAAATGACATGCAATTAGATAATATTGACTATATTATAAAGTTTATACGTATTTTCTAAATGCATACATTTATACAGCATTAACCAATTAAATATCAGAAAATTAACTGTCTAAATGCATATTACTACGTATTAATTTTTTTAAAAATTATGTATTTAGATAGTATGTAGTTTGCATTTAGACAGTATCGACCGTAATTTTAAATTAAAAAAATATTAGCAAACGTACTTTACAAAAATATTATACTTAAATTATTTTATTACAGACATATATATAAGTTTATATAAACAAATTTGATTGATTAGACATAGTTTTAAAAATAAACATTATATATATTTAAAATATTGATATGATAAAAATAATTTTGACCACAATATAATTTAAAGAATGTTTTAAATTTTTATTTTTGAGATAATAAATTGATACTATATATCAATACAAACAAAGAGAATTAATAAAATTAAAAAAAAAAATAAAACACAATTTTCAAACAAAGGCCGATTTATACTTACTGTTCGCCAGCCTAGCCGTAATGACCGGATAACTATAATACAAAAAAAGAGTCTTATTTATCTAAAGAATAAATATGTTATTTTCTATGTATTTGATAAAATTTTTTATAGTAGTGTTACAATATCATAATATTGTTGCGTGATTATACCGTAAGTGATAAAAATAAAGAATTTACTAAATATTTAAACGGAACATCCATATAATCTATTAATAAAATTCTATACACATGAAAAAATAAAAGAAATACAACATACACACACCAAATCAATGAGGACATAACCTTTTTTTTTTTTTTTTTTATAACATAAACACCGTTTTTGGAGAAATTTTGAACATTTCCAATTCGTCCATTCCTCTCTCTTGACCTCTACTTAAAGCGAGATCGTAGCCCGCAGCACGTACACGACTCAGCACGGGATCTTTGGTATCTCTTCCTTCACCAAAAGAAAACATAAAACTATCATGAGATCTCGCACTAGAAGTATTACTCCAAATATTAGAGATATACATTCCAAATATTTCTTCAGTAGACTTTATTTTCATTAGCATTATGGTTTTAGCTTGACCGCCGCAACGTTGATGAAGAGTCTGTTGAGAATACCCGTCACGTGAACCACGCATAAGTAAAGTAAAGTCATATGGAATATCGGTATGTTTATAAGGCTTGCCTTCTTTACGGTCAATCCAAGTGGCGATTAGAGAAGCATGTTTCAAAGTGATAAGTTTTGAGTCAATAGTTTTTAATCTTGGATGGAATTGGCTAGGTTGTATGTCAGGCATTAAGAAATGCCATAAGACATCATCGCACATCTTGCGCGGAAGAATATCTTTAAAAGGCCAAACTTTTTCACGGAATTGTTCTCGAGTCATAAGAGTGAACCTAATAAGAGGTATACAATCAGCTAAAGATTTCTGAAAAGTAGCGGTAAAATCTGGAGTCCAACCAGTAGGGTCATCGGAAAGAGTAGGATTCTGCACAAAACCCCATTTAATAACATTATTCCAAAGGTCAACTTCATCCATAGCAAGATCATCACGGCGAAGGAGGGAAGTTAGAATGCTACTATCCAGACAATAAAAATAATCAGAATCAAACAAGAGAGGAGGATCAGCACATATAGTTTCTAGACAATAATCTTGTAATAATTTGTAAGTTTCATGGCTGAAAGCGAAATCTAAGACATGGTAAAAGTTTTCCTGCATCCAAAGAGAACGGTTTGCAACAAGGTATTCTTGTACTTCGTCAATGAATTCAGGTAAAATTAATTCGTCAGCAGCAGTCAAGAGGTTTAAAATAAATTCACCCTCTTGATCTTCTATATCTATGGTTCCAGCATAAATGTATCTAATAACAATAATATAAAAAAAATAGATTTAAAAATACAATAAGTTATATATACATACATACATACATATATATATATATATATATATATATATATTAAATTGATTGATAAAAATAAAATTAATCAAGATGATTAATAATTACTTGAGAATGATTTCAAAAATAGGAGGGGATACATTAGGCTTGTAAAATACAGTTTTTCCATCTTCTTTTTTAGCCCATTCCTTTGATAAGGCCCTACGAAAGTAAGGAGAATGTGCTCGTAATATGACAGAATGTGCTTTAAAAGGTTTTATTATAGGTTCTTGACCAACATTTATAATTAGGTCATGACCATCAGCGTCTTCAAGTAATTTTGCAAAATTACGAGAAAAAGTTGACCAAATTTTTGTCATATTGGCAACCTTCCGAAAGTAAAATTGATTTGTGTTCGATAAAACATAAATGAAATACTTTTACAAATAAGGTATTTATATAACTTTTAATATACGTACAGATGTATCGGAACACAATGTGACACTGTGTAACAGATGGGCGAGTTGCAGAAATAGGCTAAAAATTTTGCCTTTAATAATAGAACAGCTTTTTTTTTTTTTATTTACTTTGACAAAAATTATTTAATAAATTTTATAATAATTTAGTTAAAAACAAACATTTAATTTTAACAATTGGTCCAACTTCAAAATTTCTTTATCAAAGTCGAACCTTTTTTTTTTTTTTAGATAAATGCATGCATTATCATGTGAAGACTAGAATAGTAAATGTATGTGTAAGTAACTTATGTGCCAACATTATCAACACTATGCGATCATGAAATTATCACGAATTAACTATTAAAAAAGGAAGTAAGGGATGTATTTTAGTACTTGGAGTTTAAATTTGTCTGTCGTGTTCATCAGATCGTCCTTCATAGACTACTGATATACGAATTATTTTTGATATCATCGTGACATGAAACTTGTCATATTACACATGACTAAATGTGCTTTATTAATAAAAGTTTTGTACGTATATCCAATGAATCTTAAACATTTAAATAACCAACTGGAGAAATGGTTGAATGTTTTTATTGCACGGAAGTCTTACAACAGGAAGTCTTACAACAGCTTGCTGTTCCGACAAGTCATCTGACCGTTATCTGCCTACATCACGCAATGTGACAATTTACAATATGCTAAAACTACAGTAACGGTAACTAAATGCCAGTCGTGAAGGGATGAAATCATTTCCCGAAATGCAGCTTATTTTCTGGCAGCTTATTTTCCCGATAGAACTCTATAAGAGAATTTTCTGTAGATGAAACGTTATTCATTTGAACAGATCTGTTTCATCATCAATAAACTGTGCGAGTTATCTCGAATAATCCGAACAAAAAAAAGGGTATCCTATGTGAAAATCACAGAACAATTAAGAACCATTTTATCGGAACTAACGGATAATCTGTAATTCAGTTTATCTTAAAATTCGATCGGATAACTGAGCAGGTATTGTGAAATGTCCTGTCAGAATAACGGAGATTTTAACAGTTGCCTGCTTAGTGTTTTCGGAAAAGTGTGCGTCGAAAATGTTCTGGATTTGGTCGTTATCAGCTTATTATAGATCACGAATTTAAGCTACATAGGATTCATCGTTTTAGATAATTTGCAATATTTTTTTTAATTAACAATATGATAAATCTAGACAGTGCTTCTATAAATAAATATACAAAAGAGTTAATTTATCGTGTGTATAGAGGATAGATAGATACACGTAAAGTGGGATAAATGTGGTATTCATTATGACAGATTAAAATGAAATCAGATTAAATTTTGCCTTGTTTTAGTAAAAATAACGCGTCATGCTAAAATTTTTTGGGTTGCATTCTTTATCATATCGGCTGATTTGGCCAATTATGTATACATTATTCGGCAAAACTTTTTGAATAGATTCAACCGGACAAATGAACACATACCGCGAAGCGGCATGTGTAAGCCAATCATTTGCCCGGTTGAGCCAAATTTCGATTTAGTTTTGATTATAAAAGTGTGTAAGTGGGGTTTGGAAACTTAAAAAGAACCCCAATTTTCATTTTAATGATCTGCAACATTTTATTTATAATATGGGTAATTATTGTTGAATCCAGACCAAAATGTTATTATTTATGTCATATCGATATTGTCCGGATTCAAAAATAATTACCCATATAAATCAAAAACTTATTTTGGTTGAAAGGCTCAAATGGTAACGGTTAATTTTGGCGTAATAAGGTAGTCTTAAACAAAAACGTTCCCGGTTACCTTCATACTATAGTATAAATTTGTTATGGTCCAATAAACGGTATGCATATTTGTCTTCTAAACAAAGTTCTTCGAAAATTTGATCTTTTTTGGATTCTCTTGTATGGTGAATTGACACTTCGTTGAAGTTATAAACGATTAGTGAAACATTGCGTTATCAAAAAAGTACTTTAAACGTGTAACGATAAGTAAGTTACCCTGACTTCTGCCTGTGTCGACTTGAAAATAATCGGCCAGGATCACTACCCGATTTACATGGTGCATAACGATAATGAATATTTTATGCATTACGAATACAAAGTAAAATTTCTATATATGTAAAAGTTCTAAGTATACGTATGTTTATCGTTATCAGAGATTTACATTTATATGCGCCCATGACGCACTTTTGACGCACAGTGCAAAAAGATCCTCAATTATTACTATATTCGTAGTTGCTAAAATTCCTTATACCCGGTTAAGGGCTAAACTTTAAGGAGAGAAACTGCCAGATAAGGGGGTCGTCTAAAGCCGTGTCCATCACGTGACCTAAAGCCAATAGAATTGTTTATTTTGATCGACACGGATC